TGCTACCCTGAGTGGTAAGTCATTATATGATCTATGCTCTCCGTACTATGCATCGGAATACTGGAGGGGTGCCTATATGGAAGTCATATATCCCGTTACACGGGAAGTGGATTGGGTTGTTCCAAATGAAATCCTAGGCACTCATATTTTGCCACCGACCGTACGTCGTCCTCCAGGTAGACCACCGACGCGACGTAAGCGAGCTAGATACGAGTCCACTTCCCAACTGAGGAAATGCACTCGATGTGGGAGACTTGGTCATAACCGGACCACATGTTCGAACCCTATTGTATCACAAGCCACTTGAAGAAGCGTGATGTGTAAAAGTGGTTGTCAAATGTAATCCTCGAAAAACTTAATTTAAATATACATTGTACATTCCTAACTTATTTTATGAATTTGTTATTATTATCGTATGCCAGTGCAAATTTGGTCGTTATGTTCCGCAAGCAAAGTACCGATCATTACAGTTCCATTATCACGAATGAGATGAATACCTTCTTCGTACTATAAACTTAGCCGATCATAGAAGTTTCATTAGCTTCGACTGACAGTTCGTCGAAGTGGAAAACTGATTTTCATGAGACCATACTGAACAAACAAAACACCAACAGTACGTCTCGACAGTTCATATGTCGTTCCCGACAGATAGTCTCTGTAATTCTCGACAGTTGGGCACAGCAGCGGCTTGAAAACCTACACTGGTGCGGTTGCCTATTATGGAGATGCAGTTTCTGCACGTATCCAGCGAACGTGACCGAAATCATCCATACCACAAAATAGTAAACATATTTTCGTATAAAAGGGCCATTTATTGCACAGTTGCACTGCTTTTGACAATGTAAGAAGCTCCCCCACTTTCCCCATCAGGAGGTGGAACATGAGGCACCCACTCATTCGAGTCGGACGGTGACTTGACCGGGCCCCAAACCTCGAAGACTTGATCGAGAACGCTGTTCGGTGACTTAGATTCTGCACTTGACACTACGTCAAACTCGGCACCATGCAGTTCAACTCTTACGTCCTCATCGTCTGACAACAAAACGATGGGAAACTCAGCGGATGAACCCAATATGGGTGGATGCATATTGGAGTTGAATGTTTCATTGCTAGAGGTGGATGAACCCATTATCTCGTATCAACTACCTGTTTCAAAATGGAAGCCTCACAACAGCTTTAATGACATA